TACAAGAATACTACTACAAGAATACTACTACAAGAATACTACTACAAGAATACTACTACAACAATACTACTACAACAATACTACTACAACAATACTACTACAACAATACTACTACAAGAATACTACTACAAGAATACTACTACAAGGACATTTGTCTTTCTAGAGGAAATAATTATCAGAGAAGAACAGAACGAGGATGAGAGGCAAGCTCAAGGTAACAAGAAACTAACTTTATTTAAATCGTTCTCAATATGGAGATTCAGCAAGGGTAACAGCCCTTTTAGTCATGTCTCGTGCAACACGACCAACACGAGTATACGCGTAAAAACGCACAAGTTACAGGTCTGCAAACAAGTTGTTACAAATCTGTTCACAAGCTGTCGACAAGTTGTGTTCGCAATGCTTGTTCCTAGTTGTTGGAACAAGTTTGGAATAAGCTGTTAACAACTTGTAACAAGCTTGATGGCCTTATCAGACTTGTTACAAGGTTGTTCTAACCAATCTGATACAGTCATGATATTACAAGAATGTTACAAGGTTGACGACACAAGGTTGTAACAATATTGTTATATCGTGAGTCATGACTGCATGTATCGGACTCGTTGGAACAACCTGGCAACAAGTCTGATAATATCAACAATATTGTTACGAGTTTTTAACAGCTTGTTCCAAACTTGTTGACAGCTTGGGACAAGCAGTGCGAACACAACTTCTTGATACCACAAGTTGCGCCACCGCAGCCCTGATCGAGACTCCTTTAACAACTTTTCTTCCGACAGCGGCAAGAAGAATTCAGGAAACCATGCTCCACAAACGACACAGTTTATCGGAATCGTTTATGAACCTCATTGATGGAAATAAAGAATTACTCAATCATCTTAACAGTTGTAGAAAAGATGCTCAGAGCAACTTATCCAACAAGTAAGAACACATTTCACTAATCCTTCTCAAAACTTTACCGATCTTGCCATTGCAAAATTCCAACCGAGGCCAATAGTGTTGTAGAAGGGCTGAGCCGCCCTTACTAACAATTTCATGGCGGTTTGGGGGGCTGACCTCCCAATATTTTTGCAGATTGTATATTCATAACTTGGAATGTTCTTTGCAACCGTAGTGTTGAAATGGTGCGATAATGATGTTAGTAATCTGTACTTGATTACTATGATCATACTGTTAGGTCATGTATGTGGCTCCAACATGAAATAGCTTCGGTATAACGGAATCTTTTATTTCTAGTCCTTTCTTCAAAAAACACTAATTGAAGAATTACTGCAATCAAAAATAAATACTGGAACTTTCCATGTTTATCATGAATGAATGACAATATTTATTGAGGGTGAACACCAATCTAACACTAAAAGGTTAATGAGGGTGGCACTCACCCACTCATCATGTCCCACCCAGTGATCTAGCGGTTGCACCCTCCACACCTTGTTGCCCTCACGTCTTGTCACCCCACCCCCCTTTAAGAACCCCCTCCCTCATATGTTATCATTTTAGTTTTACACCACTGCATGGTGACCACATAAACGGCTTTGATACTGTAAACTACCGAACCCCTGAGTTAATTTAGCTAACCTAAATATAATTAAGTAATTTTTGATAATTTTGTTTATCTTTTTATTAGGACAGAAGCACTGCGCAAATTGAAACAGAAAATCAAGAAATGTCGACTTTATGTTCGTCAAACTGTTCGCAGTAGTGTCTTCTATTGGTCTGTGATTCTCTGTGTTTTTCTCAATACAATGGTTATCGCTTTAGAACATCATGGACAACCTGAGTTCCTTACACAGTTTCAAGGTCTCTGCAGTAGATTGTTGTTGTTTTGGTAGTTTTGTAGAGAGAGTAAAATAATAAACTACCGAGGCACATAGTCAGATATGTTCGACCTATGCATGCAGATATGCTCAATATATATTGAAATATATAATTCTTTACCTAGATACCTGTGAACTGGTGTTTCTGGTGATATTCATTGCTGAGATGTTGTTTAAAATGTTTGGTCTGGGTTTTCACACGTACTTTGCATCTGCTTTTAATTGTTTTGATTTTACGGTAAGAGATTTTGTCTCATACCAGCTAGTGCAACTTACCTGTATTATTGTATATGTGTACAATTTCCTAACTTATTCTCACTGACTTCATTTGTAATGTTTACAGGTCGTGTTATGTGGTCTGGTGGAAATGATGATACAGGAAGTACAGGGCATCAGTCTTGGAATTAGCGTTCTGCGAAGTTTAAGACTTTTGAGAATCTTTAAAGTAACAAGGTAATAAAGAAGAATACTGATTACTATTATTAGATATGACTCATGAAGTATCAGTTCTAAACTGTTCTCCCGAGAGGTCCAGTAAGGATCGTCTCTTATTAATCCAGTGTTATACTACAGGAGGAAACCTAAACTAAACTAACTTTAGTTATACTGGATAGCTCTATCAGTTCTAAACTGTTCTCCCTAGAGGTCCAGTAAGGGTCATCACTTATTGATCCAGTGTTACTACAGGAGGAAACCTAAACTAAACTAACTTTAGTTCATATACTGGATAACTCTATCAGTTCTAAACTGTTCTCTCTAGAGGTCCAATAAGGATCATCTCTTATTGATCCAGTGTTATACTACAGGAGGAAATCTAAACTAAACTAACTTTAGTTATACTGGATAGCTTTATCAGTTCCAGACTGTTCTCCCTAGAGGTTCAGTAAGGGTTACCCTTTACACGACTCCTAAACTATATTATCTTTTCTTCGTTATTAGATTCTGGAAATCTTTACGTAATCTAGTGACGTCACTTCTCAATAGTGTTCGCTCTATACTCAGTCTGATATTTTTACTTTTGCTGTTCATATTCATATTCGCTTTACTTGGGATGCAGCTGTTTGGAGCCAAGTAAGATATACTTTACACGTTTCCCCTTAGAATTTTCCTTATGGTTTCCCCTCTGGGAAAATACATGTAGATTTGGCAGAAAAGCTGTCCATTTCAAAGCTAAATAGGATAAATGTGCAAAAGGTTCAGCCCCTTCATCACTACTTTTTGTTGCAGATTCAACAACAAATTGGACCCTCCAAGGACAAATTTTGATAACTTTTTTCAAGCTATGCTCGCCGTTTTTCAGGTAAAATGTATAATCCAGGGCCTCTTTTAATACCATATACTGGGGGGGAATTGTCCCCTCCCAACCCTGTTTTGCCCCCCCCCCTCAGTGAAGTATGTTGTCCCCCCCCCAGTGAAGGTCCATTCTGTCTAAAAAATAAGGGGAAAAGGGAAGAACAACATAGTTAAAAAGAGTATTTTAGTGTTGCCAAGACCAATTCTTTGTCTAGCGGATGAAATATATAAATAAAAAATTGTGTCTGTGAATGCGAAAATCAAGCCCCAGACACTTAAAAATACAAATACAGCCTTCGAATGTCGTCTAGTTTAACAATAAATTTTCCACACTGTAGATGCTCTCGGGCGAGGACTGGAACACAGTAATGTACGAGGGTATTTTGGCCAGCGGCGGACCCTATACCGTCACTGGAATCTTGGCATCATTCTACTTTATTGGTCTCGTTATACTGGGCAACTGTATCCTTTACTGTACTGGGATATTAGCTACTTGTTATTATTCAAACTTTTTGTGATAACAGTTTTTGCGATTCCGGTGCAGCGCTCGATTTATACACACGTAAAAAATTATACACACATAAAAACGCACAAGTTGTTACAAATCTGTTCTCAAGCTGTCGACAAGTCGTGTTCGCACTGCTTGTTCCCAGTTGTTGGAACAAGTTTGGAACAAGTTGTTAACAACTTGTAACAAGCTTGATGGCATTATCACACTTGTAGCAAAGTTGTTCTAACACGTTTGATACAGTCATGATATAACAATATTGTTACAACCTTGTGTCGTCAGCCTTGTGACATTCTTGTTATATCACGAATGTATCAGACTTATCAGAGCAACCTTGTAACAAATCTGATAATGCCATCAAGCTTGTTACAAGTTGTTACAATAACTGGGAACAAGCAGTGCGAACACAACTTGTCGACAGCGTGTGAATAGATTTGTAACAACTTGTTTGCAGACTTGCGTGTTTACGTTTGGAGTTGTTGTAACAAGTTTGGAACAAGCTGTTAACGTACAACTTGCTACAAGCTGTTAACAACTTGTAACAAGCTTGATGGCATTATCACACTTGTTACAAGGTTGTTCTAACAAGTCTGATACAGTCATGATATAACAATAATGTCAAAGGTTGACGACACAAGGTTGTAACAATATTGTTATATCATGACTGTATTGGACTTGTTGGAACAACCTTGTAACAAGTCTGATAATATCAACAAGGTTGTTACAAGTTGTTAACAGTTTGTTCCAAACTTGTTGACAATACAGTTTGTTCCATACTTGTAGGTAATAAATCATTCTAAGCTACAGCTCCTCTGTACGAGAATAGTTTTTTACAAAAAGATTTTTCGCCGCTGCTTCTGGCTAGGTGTGAAAATTATATATAATTTTCCGTTCAAAATTTCCATATCAATACAAAATCCCGTCAGCTATCTTTCCTTAACCCCTATCTTAACAGACACGTTACTCAACGTATTTCTGGCTATAGCAGTAGATAACCTCGCCACAGCGCAAGCGCTCACGAGAGACGAGGAGCGAGAACAGCGGGAACGGGATTTGGCGAAGAAACGAATACAGGAGAAACGACAGAAAGGATGGTTGAAGGCGAAGAAACAATTGCCAATCATACTCACTTTTAAACATTTCTCCAATCTACGAAATGCCAAGTTAGTGGACTAGCGGTTGATCCATGCAGAAAAAATCATCAAAAATCTCACATCTTGTAGCAAGTCTGCCAACAAGCCGTCAACAAATTGTGTTCGCACTGCTTGTCAACAAGCTTGGAACAAGTTGTTAACAGCTTGTAACAAGCTTGTTGATATTATCAGACTTGTTGCAATGTTGTTCCAACAAGTCCGATACAGTCATGGTATGACAATATTGTTACGACCTTGTATCGTCAGTCTTGTATATATCATGACTATATCAGACTTGTTAGAACAATCTTGTAACAAGTCTGATAAAGCCATCAAGCTTATTACAAATTGTTAACAGCTTGTAACAAGGTTGTTGATATTATCAGACTTGTTGCAAGGTTGTTCCAACAAGTCGGATACAGTCATGATATAACAATATTGTTACAACCTTGTATCGTAATGGAAACCAAGTTCCAAAGTTTTTCCAGCAACTGGGAACAAGCATTGCGAATCTTGTTGACAGCTTGTGAACAGATTTGTAACAACTTGTTTGCAGACCCGTAACAACTTGTACGTTTTTACGTGTGTACAATTCTCACAACTTGTCAACAAGATATGTTCGCAGCAGGCTTGTAGCAAGCTTGTCAACAAGTTGGAACGACGCTGTTATTTCATCAAGTTCCTACAAGGTTGTCACTTACAACTTGTTGACAAATTGTTGAATTGCAGGACGATAACAAGTTGTTGGAACAACTTGTAACAAGTCTGTTGAGCTCAACAACTTTTTAGCAAAGTATAACACTATTGTTACAACCTTGTATCGTCGACATTGTGTTTGTTTATTATTTTGGATTGGCTCTAGAATTTTTTTGAGAACGAATATTGTTGGACGAATCCATCCCAAGATGCGGCTAGCCCTGAATGGCTATATGGATTTTTCCAACTTTATTTTGAAACACTAAGTGACTCTAAGATCATTATTTTTGTAGGCTCGCTGAACAGCAAGGGGGAAGTGGCCGAAGTTCTATTGAGGTAAGAGCAAATACATGTTGTTAACTTGTTTTCTTTTGGCTGAGCCCGCTGAGCTACGAAAGAAGCGGAGAATGTTTTCACACACATTGCTGGGGGCCCGATAGAGATCGGGTGGTGCAGGTTAGATGAGCATAGTTTTGTTTTTGCTCACCGTAGCTTGGAACAAAATTCCTTGACAAGAAAAAATTGTCAATTTTTGCCGTACATACGAGCCAGTAAACCTTGTCAAGGAAAATTTCTGAAGAAAAAATTGCTTGTCTGTATGGGGTTTAAAGGCGCATTTCCACTCAGGAAAATTATTCGCAGAAAGAAAATTTTGCAACATGTGATTGGCCGACACAAATTCACCGTCGAAAAAAATTTTGAAGTTGAAAGTTTCAACTTTTAACAATGAACCAATCCCATATTAATCAAAATTTTTATCTCAACAATTCCAGACAAAATTCCATCACAGCATGAAAAAGCATCACAAAATTAGCAATATTCCAAAGTTTCGTTGCGAAATGTTGTAAAATGCGGATAATATAGCTTTGCGAAGTGTGCCGTTTTTTCAGTCAGTAAAGCAGTAAACGGTTACCACTTTTCCAAAATTTTGATCTCAACTGGCCTAAACAAAAAATTCATCACAGCTTGAAAGAGCATCACAAAATTAGTAATTTCGTTGCGAAATGTTGTAAAATGCGGATAATATAGCCTTGCGAAGTTTGTAATTTTCAGTCAATTTGTATTTGTACAAACGGGAAATGGTTACCACTTTGGAAAATCTCCCGCGCGAATACAAAATGACTGAAAATTGCAAACTTCGCAAGGCTATATTATCCGCATTTTACAACATTTCGCAACGAAACTTTGGAATATTGCTCATTTTGTGATGCTCTTTCAATGCTGTGATGGAATTTTCTCTAGACTTGTTGAGATCAAAATTTTGATTAATATGGGTTTGGTCCATTATATTTTGGGAAAATATTCTGTCCGTGGAAATTTTTTTTGAGCGGAAATGAGCTTTTAAACTGGAAACACTCTGTTTATATGCAAATGAGACGAAGTTTTAATCGGACAACTGAGTATTGCAGAAATTCAAAGAATATTTTTTATTCTAGGATACTGTTCCAACAACATCGCCTGATGATGTGGCGATCCAGTTCAATGGTACCTCGGACACCAATGTACGCGCAGGGATATATGAGGTAACCGAGGAACAGAACGGGGCGTCACAGGATGGCCAGGATGAAGAGGTGGTACGGAAGATCAGTTTTGTTGAGATACTCCAGCAAGTGAGGGATAGAGATGTACAGGAGAGACAGCTTGGAATGGATGAGGATGCAGAGGGGATGCAGTCTGGGAGCGATTACATTGGTAATTGACCTGTCGTATATCCCCATTATCAGGGCCCCCAAAACACGTAAAAACGCACAAGTTATAACAAACCTACAGCAGACTTGTAGCAATGCTGTTCCAACAACTTGTCAACAGGATGTGTTCGCACTGCTTGTTCCCAACGCCTTGCTACAAGGTTGTTGAGCTCGACAGACTTCTTCCAACTTGTTATCGCCCTGCAATTCAACAGTTTGTCAACAAGTTGTGAGTGACAACCTTGTAGCAACTTGATAAAATAACGGCATTATTACAACTTGTTGACAAGCTTGTTACAAGCCTGTTGCGAACACATCTTGTTGACAAGTAGTGAGATTTTTACGTGTGTGATATATTGGCCTACGATAATGAAAAACAAAAACTGAGGCAAAAAGGAAAAGCATGTTTTGTGACCTCATACCTGTCAAAAATTTGTCTGGTATATGATTTTCTATGGGATTGCATCTCTTCCCCATGAAAATACAAAAATACCGCAGGTCATGCAAATTTATTTACACACTTTACCTGAGGAGTGCAATTAAGGAACAATGAACCATTTGCATTATGGACTAAATTTTGATCTAGACAAAAATTTCATCACAGCTTGAAAGAGCATCACAAAATTAGTAATATTCCAAAGTTTCGTTGCGAAATATTGTAAAATGCGGATAATATAGCCTTGCGAAATTTGCAATGTTCAGTCATTTTGTATTGCAAAAGGGAAATTGATGCCCCAACGCCCGATTGGGCTGTCAATTTCCCGTTTGTAATACAAAATGACTGAAAAACGGCAAACTTCGCAAGGCTATGTTATCCGTATTTTACAACATTTCGCAACGAAACTTTGGAATATTACTAATATTGTGATGCTCTTTCAAGCTGTGATGAAATTTATGTCTAGATCAAAATTTAGTCTATAAATATAATGCAAATGGTCCATTAAGCCCTGGGCAAACTAGGAAATATTGTTGCGGAAACATTGTTTCCTACCAATGTTTCGCCATGTTTCCAAGAGTGGGCGAACAGTAGGAAACATTAGTGAGAAACATAGGGAAACATAAAATGTTTCTGATTTCGCTAGGAAACATTTTTGCTTCTCGGGAAGCAAATTTTGTTTCCGCAACAACGTTTCCACGGGTGGGCAAACAAGAAAACATTTGAAGAAACATCGAGAATCACAAATGTTTCCGCAACAATGTTTCCTAGTTTGCCCAGGGCTTAAGCAGAATGTCTTAGCGTTCAAAAATGTTTTCCAGAACAAGGCATCAGCCATCATGGCTTTTCTACAACTCTCCGTAATCCTGAGAAGATAATTGGTCGTCGCCTGATCGCAAGAAGAGTCCCTATCATACGCAAGACGTCACTTTTCATTTTCTCACCTGAGAACCCGTAAGTGATTGAATATAAGCCATGGAGAAAGTTAGTTCCTCTTGTAGTAACACTGGATCAATAAGCGATTATCCTTACTGGAGCTTTAGGGCTAACAGTTTAGAACTGATGGAACTATCCAGAAAAAAATAAAGTTAGTTTAGTTTAGGTTTCCTCCTGTAGTAACACTGGATCAATAAGAGATGACCCTTACTGGACCTCTAAGAAGAACAGTTTACAACTGATAGAGCTATCCAGTATAAATAAAGTTAGTCTAGTTTAGGTTTCTCTTGTAGTAACACTGGATCAATAAGAGATGATCCTTACTGGACCTCTAGGAAGAACAGTTTATAACTGATAGAGCTATGCAGTATAAATAAAGTTAGTTTAGTTTAGGTTTCCTCCTGTAGTAACACTGGATTAATGAAAGATGATCCTTACTGGAC